TCTCCCCTCTCCCCGTAACTGAGCTGCAGCACGGTGGCCAAGACCATACAGTGGTTTAACAGAATAGGCCTCGCCATGGTCGACCAAAGAAGTTGAGAGCACATGCTCAGCATCATTCCAGAGGTTGTCTTTGGGAAATAGACGTATGAGTGCTGCCAGCATTGTTGAAGGGGTGGGGGGTCAGCCTGTCAGTGCTCAGACCATACACTGCATCAAATTGGTCTGCATGGCTGTCATCCCAGAAGGAAGCCTCGTCTAAAGAGAATGCACAAGAAAGCCCACAAACAGTTTGCTGAAGACAATGGATTACTGGAACCATGTCCTGTGGTCTGATGAGACTAAGATAAACATATTTAGTTCAGATGGTGTCATGCGTGTGTGGTGGCAACCAGGTGAGGAGTACAAAGACAAGTGTCTTGCTTACAGTCAAGCATGGTGTTTGGGAGTGTCATGGTCTGGGGCTGCATGAGTGCTGCTGGCACTGGGGAGCTACAGTTCATTGAGGGAACCATGAATGCCAACATGTACTGTGACATACTGAAGCAGAGCATGATCCTCTCCCTGCGGAGACTGGGCCGCAGGGCAGTATTCCAACATAACGACCCCAAACACACCTCCAAGACGGCCACTGCCTTGCTAAAGAAGCTTGAGGGTAAAGGTTATGGACTGGCCAAGCATGTATCCAGACCTAAACCCTATTAAGCATCTGTGGGGCATCCGCAAACGGAAGGTGGAGGAGCGCAAAGTCTCTAACATCCACCAGCTCTGTGATGTCATCATGGAGTGGAAGAGGACTCCAGTGGCAACCTGTGGAGCTCTGAACTCCATGCCCAAGACGATTAAGGCAGTGCTGGAAAATAATGCTGGCCACACAAAATATTGACACTTTGGGCCCAATTTGGACATTTTCACTTAGCGGTGTACGCACTTTTGTTGCCAGCGGTTTAGACATTAATGGCTGTGTGTTATTGCGGGGACAGCAAATGTACACTGATATACAAGCTGCACACTCACTACTTTACATTGTAGCAAAGTGTAATTTCTTTGTCGTCGCATGAAATGATAAATATTTACAAATATGTGAGGGGTGTACTCCTGTGAGATGCTGTGTGTGTAATCTTTTTAATTAATTTTTTTGTATTCCTTCTCCACAGGGACTTGGAACAGATGAAGATACCTTAATTGAAATCCTGGTATCACGGACCAATAATGAGATCAGAGAAATTATTAAGGTTTACAAGGAAGGTGAGATAAATGAAGTAAAAAGTAATGGTTGACCAATGGCTGAAATGAAGCTGTACTAAAAGTATGTATCCTTGCTATGACATGCCAATCTGAAACCTTAAGGGGAAATTCCATTTAAATGTGATCTTTTCACCTTTCAGTAGGTGACAAACTGAATCAAATGTTGGCTTCTTATCTCTCCTAGGCATTTGGCCTTCAGAAGCGCGATATGCACACTGGTGTTCCCAGTTCTTCTAAGTGTAATGACCATTACAAGGCCAGGGGATAGTAAGGTCCTACCAGAGTACATTCTCTGCAATGTGGGACCTCGGCTACAAATGACACACATTTTTGTCATGGTCTTGTGAAAGGGGGTGGCAATCCAAACTGTGAGCATCTAAAATGTTGCCACCTGAATCTCCAAGCTTTTGACTAATTTAAATGTTTATCTTACTGTACTGTGTACATTTATTACACACGCATAACAAAATGGCGTACCTAGTGTAAAACTCCAAATTATGATACAAGGATAAAGCCGTGCTATATCTAAAGATGGGTAGATTACAAAAAAACTGTACATATAGCGCAATAATGTGCAGCACTCTTCTAATCTCAAATAATCTGGTTGTAATATTATACATGGGCCTAATCTATTTAGCAACGTGTGAAAGGATGAATAGACACAGGCTCAAATCAAAAGAATATAAATTTTAAACCTATATTTTGTTACATAGAAAAAGAAAACACTTAGTGGCAATTGAGCCTTTTTATTTACAGAGGGATTCCATTGATGGAACTAAAACTCATCTGGGCATTGCCTCTAATATACCTTTTACAGACACGAGTACTGACCATTCTTAACCAATCACAACTGATGAAGCATAGTTGCATGATGCATACTGCATAATCCATGCATGGCAAGGTACCCTCCTATAATTGTGTATTCTTTGACTAATTTGACTAATTTAACTGATTAATTCTGAACTTTCACAGCATCCCCCTTCACTCTAGAGTCTAGATAATGGCTAAATATTGCAAGATGTTTTCTTGTTAGCGATAGCTGTTTCATTTCCACAACACTGCTAATCAATTGGGTAAAATAATCCATGGCTGCAAATCAACAACATTTTCTAAAGGTGGTCGCATCAATTGGTGAAGTAAAAAGTTGTATCAATATTCTAGCTTTTGCTTGTTGTGGGTTTCAATTACGACACTGCTAGATACATCACTGAGAACACCACTTTTTTTTTTTTTTTTAATTTTTTTTTTTTTTTCTTCCCATCAAGAGTTCAAGAAAGACCTTTCAAAAGATGTTGCCTCTGACACATCTGGAGACTTTCAAAAAGCCCTTTTAGCACTCATTAAGGTATGACTTGTGCATCTTATGCGTATTAGAGTGTATTAGATGTACATAATAAAAGCTATTTTTAACCACAAAAACCTGAGTTTGGCTCTTTGTCTGATTAGGACAGTATTGTACCTGCAGCTTCCTCAAAATATTTGTGGCTAGGGCTGGGCTGGTCGACAGGTAAGCGGTAGAGCTCGTCACCCATTTGTGCTCCTGCACATTCCTATTGCCCCAGCACAAAGATGAGCTTTCTTACTGGCCAATTGTATTGCAGAATAGAAAGAAAGGGTTGGTCACATTTTGACAGTAGGGAGTGTTTTTGCCCCTCCGAACAAGCTGGAGTGGGGCATTAATGTATGCTTTTGAAGGCTGCTGATATATTCAGGCATCTTTAGGTATGTGCACTTTATCCTTGCAGCAATATCTGCCCCTGTCAGATTCTCTAACTTGACATTAGCATATGAGCACCTTTTAGCCCTTGTTATAACCTTTTCTCCACTGGAGGTACTGTCCAGTAAAAAATCAAATGCTTTGAATGGTTAACAGTTTTCCTGATGATGGAAGTTAAAATTTTAGCACTTAACCACTAATCCTGATGAAATTTCATGTTATGGTACATGGACACAGTGAGGGCCCAAGTGAACAGCATTAGCCCTTGTCACATTGCAGCATCACAGAGGTTTGGTGGTAGATGGTTCTGATCCTTTCCAACTGGCCCCGTAAATGACGGGCCTAACTGTGAGGCAAATAGGTCCATGCACATGTTTAAGGTCAATGGGCTCGATGTAGCAGCACAGATGTCCAAATGCGTTTTTTTTCCCCCTGAAACTGTACCCCATTGGGTTTACTGGATACATATTATACATGTAAATTTAATTTGTTAATGTTTATTACTTATAGGCTGAACGCAATGAAAGTTCACCTGTGAATGATGAGCAAGCTGACAATGATGCCAGGGTAATAAAAGCAGCTACTGATTTTATTTATTTTTGTTTTTAACTGGTATCTGATTTGCTGAGGACAGTCTTGTTTTAAAATTGCAGGCCCTCTTTGAAGCAGGAGAAAGGCGTAAAGGAACAGATACGTCCGTATTCATAAATATTCTCACTTCAAGGAGCTTTCCCCAACTTCAGAGAGGTAAAGGGGGAAACTAGGATGCTCAGTAAATGGAGTTGTCGTAATGTTTACCTGAGAGCAGGGTTTGAAATTACTTCCACATTTTTCCATGATAGTTGTTCCATGTTTTTCATATGTTCCATATTTTAGTTAATACGGTGTTCTTTAACCCCTTAAAGACCAAGGCGCCTTTTTTTTTTTTTTTTTGCACACGTTACAATCTGGATATCAGGCCTACAAATTACTTCTAACCCCCAAACATTATATATTTTCAGAAAGCCAAGACCCTGTAGAATACATTGTTGGCAGCTGCAAGTTTTTACATCTCACAATATTAGCGCAACTTATCAAACCCAAACGTTTAGTGAAAAATGCACTCAAGTTAAATTTGGTGTCCCAAAACACAATATAATACCCATTTTTTTTTTTCTTTTCTTAAAAATAAAAGATGAGGTTACAACAACTAAATGGATACCAAACATGCCCAGTTTAAAGATTTTGCGTGCCCGTGAAACTGTCCAGATTCAGTACCCCATAGATGGTTTAAAAACCCCTACAGGTCATCAGTTTAGTGTTGCGTGTAAATTTTGGCCCATGAATTATTGCTTTTACTCTGGCATGCACTGCAATACCCAACATGGGTAACATGTTCGTCGTTTTTGTAGGTAGACGCACCCGACGCATGGTTGCATTAAGACAAGCGTGCTCGTGGGGGTGGGAACTTTAGAAAATGTAATTTTTAAAAGTGTCTTTTTTAATTTTATTGCTATCGCATAGGTGGGCTCACAGGCCCCCATGTGATAGTATATCGGCAGTGACAGGTCCTCTTTAAGGTGATACCGGGGGTCCTAAATAGGGATGAGCTGAACACCCCCCTGTTCGGTGCGTATTCGAATGGCCGAAATGTTCGAATACGAACTCAATGCAAGTGTACAGTTGCCGGTACAAGTAATAAATACAGTGTACTGGCCCCCTTACCTCCGCTGCTGTCCCAGCCTCTGGTCCGTCCGCTCGCTGTCCCGGCGGTCCGTCTTCTCTCCTTCAGTCCGGCCGCGGCTCCTCTGCCACGCCCCCCTGCCTCCATTTCGTCTGCAGGCTGGGAGCCATACCCAACCTGCTATTGGATATTGTAAAATGCAATAGCCAGCTGGCTATTGCACCCGCCTGCTGTCAATCAGCATGGGGGGGCATGATAGAGAACTTTCTCCTTCAGGCCCCTCCTCTGCTGAGCCCTGATTGGGCAAAGACTTTAACAAATCAGAGCTTCAGTGGGCATTTTGTATTATGGAATGTACGCGGTTGAACAGACCGCGAACATCCCATAAAGTTCGGCACTCGAACTGCCGATGTTAGATTCGAACACTTGGCCCATCCTTAGTTCTAAAGACCCTTAGTATCACATTTCCACTTTAAGCTATTGAAGTGCAGATCGCACTTCAATAGCTTATTGCTTAGTTTCAGGAGCCAAGCAATGACAGCTCAGGGACCGGAAGTGAAGTAATTTGCATAGCTCCCAGTCTCATAGAACATAGATCATCGGAAATTCGCCTCTTTCCTCCCCAGCTTCCCGCTAGGCCCACAGGAGGGGCAGCGTAGCCCGGCAAAACACATCAGGGATGTCGTGGGGGGGGGGGCACTTTACTGGCCCGTAGAAGTGATCTGGTGGCAGCTGAGTCACCAAAATTACTTCTATTGTAAAGCAGGCCGCAAAGAATTTTAACATTTAAAAAACCATTACGGACCCATGACGGAGTAACCCTGTCATGGGTTGTTGGGGGTTAAACATGTTCTTAATGTTTCTGTCCATTTTATTTTTTGTTTACGTTGTCATTGAGAAACTTTGTCACCGGAATATAATTACAATATAGTTTCCTACTCAATGGGACAACTTAGAGTAAAAATAGTACTATATCTATAGGTACTAAAATTGGCACTGACCTACTGGTGGAGAAAGCATTTTTTCTATAAATTACCACCAAAGGATGGTCTGGTGCCAATGACAGTTCTTGCCCCAGAGTAGCGGAAAGTGAAAATGGCCTAGTGTTTTGGTTTCTATATGATGCTGAATCCTAGCTACTCAGAATCCCATCATTTAATCATGATGCCCAGGTACAGAAGTCCTAAGGAGGTAAGGAACGTTTGGTGTTCTGATTTGTTGAGCGCAATCTGTTTTCAGAAATGCAGGCCCTTTTAGAGGTGCTGAATAATTCCTCAGCCAGCCACACTTTAAAGCAAACTGTTTTGAGATCTGACTAGGCCTTTTTAAACTTGACCATTAAAAAAATGCACTAAAACCTTTTGCCCTTCTGAGAACAGTCTCAATTTTTATGTTCATTAGAGTGCAGTTAAACAATTTGGTACCTCCTTCTGCTCAATGACTACCCATCCCCACCTTGATAGACCACTTATAATAATGAGCCTGTAGCCATCTGCATTTTCCCCATATAGGTCTTGCATATTTGAGACTATGGGATCATAGTCTTTTACTTACCATATTGTATTGTCGGGGGTCCTAGTAAGGTTTGAAAGTTGGTTGTTTCCAGGACAGTTGGTTTCCACAATAAGACTAATATAGAGGATAACTTTGGGGATCGTAATGCTCAATAGATTTAACCCATGTACAATGTTCCGTGGAGCTGGATCTGGGACACTGCTTAGTATTCCTGGCTAAAGGTTTGAAGAACATTCTGTTGGCTTGTGGCTTGGATCTTTTTGATGTTGGTTGTGGACTACAGTCATACTCATTATTCCAGTTTAAATCATCCCTTTACTAAATTGTAGCTTGTTGAAATTGATATTGAATGTATTAAGGAACACATTAATAATGCAGTCTGAAACAAAATGTTAGATGCAGTGAATGTACCACGTGGTGATTTTGTTGCAGCATCTAGTTAGCGTAGATAATCATGGTATCTTTTTTTTTTTTTTTTTTTCCCCTTTTTTTAGTTTTCCCCAGTG